TGGCTAAACCCCTAATTCAAAATTGTTATGTTGATATTAATATTCCAATACAATAAGAAAGCCAAGTTTAGTTTACATCATATACAACGAATGTTCTCGCACATAGTGCGGGTGAGAATCTAGTATAGAGTAATTTTATTGACTACTCCATTTTAGAGTTAAAACTTTTTTATTTATAAAATAGTCATTCAAATTTTAAATAATTTTATTTTAAGCGGTAAATAATTATTTTGTGATAATTTTTCTATTTGTTTGATATTTTTTTAATTAAAGATTTACGAGTTTATTAAATCAGAAGGATTTGCAACAAAATTATTAAATTATATTATGATGTGTGAAATTATAATGTATATATAAATTTGTTTGGTTAAAAATGTGTATATATGTCTAAGTTAATATATGTTATTAAGAATTTAATTTTTTTAAAGTGCATATTTAAAGTAAATACGTATGTATGTGTAAGTTAATATAACAAAATATAATGTTACGACTTTTTTGATTTACAAAATAAAAGAAATAATGGGGTTAATTTGTAAATTTTATGAATAAATTGTATTATTAGTAATTAATAATAAATTCAAAAAAGAAATATATTTAAAATATTCATTTTGTAGTAAGAAATGGAGTAATACATTGGAGTAAAATCCAACTCTATTTTAAAATAAAAAATAGAATAATACATTGGAGCAAACTACAAAATAAAAGAAAAATATGTCGGAAAAAAAGAAAAGAGCCGTTTAGTCTTTCTTATTATATTTTTTCAAAAAAAAAGAAGTTTTGGATCTAAACAGAAATAAATCATTTTTCTTAAACATAGACTTTTTTTTCTATAACTACGAAGAGTTCGAGTCTAGATTTTAATCTCTCCTATGATCTGAAACTAGCCTTTGATAATATTTTATAACATAGCATAAATAATTCCTTCCACTACGGTTGAAACTAGGAGCACAACATAACCAATTCCTGCGTATAACCACTAGTCCACGATATCCTCTCAAACGTAGAGTTGAACTATAGAGTTCGATGCTTTTCAGTTTATTGGTCTTCTGGAGTTGGGCACATCATTTTTTCTGTCAATAACCGACAGATAACACAATCCAACTCTAATTTGACTATATAAAATGCTATAATAGTTATCACCCGATTTTAACTCTAAATATTAAAATTTTGCTATTTTGTACGCGTTCCGTTTGGCCTGCACCGCATATCGGTCTTTAAAAATTACTTATGTCCTCCAAGAATTCACAACTATTTATCTTTGTCGCATGTGATGATTTGACTTGTGTGACACAACACATGTTCAAGACATTTATTTATGTACTCAAAACATATATAATTTCAGACGTTATGCAATAAGTGATCGACAAAATTGCTGGAAAATAAAGCAAAATCAAAATCACATGAAAAAGGGTAAAATGG